CTACAAGGTTATCTAATGTACATCAAAGGAGGCAAGAGTGTAAGATGGGGTAAAGACAGTCTCTTCAATAGGAGGTATTGGGAAAACTCAACAAATAATGCACAAAAACCAGACCACTTTCTTATAACATATATAAGAATAAACTCAAAATGGGTTAGAAATTTAGATGTGAGACCTGAAACTTTAAAAACCCTAGAAGAAAATATAGGCTATAAACCTTTTGACATTGGTCTTAGTAATTTTTTTGGATATGTCTCTTAGGGCAAAAACAACAAAGAAAAGAACAAACAAATGGGAATGACTATGTTAAACTAAAAAGCATTTACACACCAAAGGAAACCATCTACGAAAGGACAACTTACTGAATGGGAGAAGGTATGTGCAAATGACACACCTGATAAGGAATTCACATGCAAAATATACGAAGAACTCATACAGTTCATCATCAAATAAACAAACTGGTTAAAAGATGGGCAGAGGACATAAATGGACAGTTCTCCAAAGACAGCATACAGATGGCCAACAGACACATGAGAATATACTCAACATCACTAATCATTATGGAAATGCAAATCAAAACCACATTGAGATATTATTACCACGGACCTGTCTGAATGGCCAATGACAATAATTCTACAAGCAATAAGTGTTGGTGAGGATGAAGAAAAAAGAGAAACTTTGTATTCTGTTGGTTGGATTGCAAATTGGTGCAGCTACTATGGAAAACATGGAAGTCACTAAAAAAATTTAAAAAAAAATAGAAATACCACATGACCTAGCAATTCCACTTCTAAATATCCAACCAAAGAAATCTAAAATACTAATTTCAAAAGATACATGCACTCCTATGTTCACTGTAGCATTATTTAAAATAGCCAAGGTACCGAAGCAACCTAAATGACCACTGATACACAAATGGATAAGATGTGGTACATACCAGGGAATATTACACAGTCATAAAAATAAATGACATCTTACCATTTGTGACAACATGGATGGCCCTAGAAGCTACTATTGTAAGTGAAACAGTTACACAAAGATAAATACTATATAATTTCAGTTACATATGGAATCTAAAAAACAAAATAAATGAACACAAAACAAAAACAAACATAGATATGGAGTGCAAATTGATGGTCGCCAGATGTGGCAGGGTTGGAGGGATGAGTAAAAAAGTTAAAGAGATTAAGAAGCACAAATTGCCAGTTTAAAAATTGTTACAGGAATGTAAAGTACAGCAAAGGGAATGTAGTCAATAATACTGTAATACCTATGTATGATGCCAGATGGTTACTAGACTTAGAGGGGTGAAAACTTCCTAAGATATAGAAGTGTCTAATCACCATTTATATACATGAAACTAATAAAATGTTATATGTCAACTGCAACAAATAAATAAGTTAAAAAATTTGATGAACAAATAGTGTCAGAAAATTGCAAACATTACCCACCACACCAGTATTCTGATCCATCTAATGAAATACACAACTACTTCAGTTTCTGATGCCAAGTCACCTCGTATTTGTACAGACTAAGGAAACAAAACTTCTATCCAAATCTGTGGTTATGTACATTATAATACTTTCTGGTCCTTAAAAGTTATTCTGTGTGTCTCCACTTAGATACAACTGTACAAGTAAGTCTATCACTACATACTATGTCTCCAGTGCTTAACCTAGTGTTTGCTGAAGCTCAGGCCAATCCACTCAACATATATAGTTGTATAATAGTTGTGCACTAACATGCCAATGATAAGTAACAAATGTACATTTCATATGGTTGCTTTGAAGTGTCATTAAAATATACAAGCATTAAGATTCTGGGCAGAGAGCAGATCATAAATGTAGTTACATGTCACTATATAATATTTATTTTAGATATTAATATTATTAATATTAAGTTACTTTTATATCTTATAAGTAGTAGTACAGGCAGGAGGCACCTGATAAGTAATTAACCTTCACTTATTAAAAATTACTCTGAATACTGTCATTTTCATGGAAAATAAGCACAAGAGCAATCAACAGTCTATTTTATTTGATACACCAGACAAGCTGATGTACCACTGCTGTTTCTAATAATTTCTAAAGTGTATTACAGTGATTAAATTTGATTGTCTTTGTAATTTTTTAAATCAGTTAATAAAAAGGAGACCTCTTTCTCTAATGGCTATAGCAAAAGGGAATAAAGGCAAATACTTTCTGAATTCAGGAAAAGAGTTTGGGTGATAGATTAACGTAGCACATGTACACTAAGAGAGGAGTTGGCATGTCCATGATTGTCAGGTACTGTTTCTTTCCTGGCTCTCTCTTCTTCCAGATGCACAAGGAAGGAAGATGTAGAATGTCATTACTAAGAAACTCCACAGAAAGAGACAATTTAAGTTGTCAACATCTATAAATGCAAATCAAACAAAAGAAGAAGAATGCTCAATGATTAATAATTTTCAGCAGTTCCCTGGAGTATATGTTTGGTCAGAATTAAAATCTCTGTTAGGTAAAGCAATACAGGGATAATGATAAATGGAACACTTGATGTGATTTATTAAATATTTCTTGCTATTGTGTTTACATATTGATTTTACTGGGTTCATTTTTTTTTGGCATAAAAGACCCAGAAATTGGGTCTGGAAACAAATTATTTTTGTAGTGAAGAAAAAGCCATCGAGGAATTTTTTTCCCTCAGTTTTCTGGTTCATGTTAAGATCCATTAAACTCTTCTCTGGTCTTCCACTGTAAAAACCTAGTTTTCTCTTTCACTCCATTATGCTTTCCACCCTGTTCTAAATTCCTAAAAACAGCGGTGTGCCTCTTTACTTAGAAGCATCTCTTCCATTAGTTACTTCCTCCTCGTTTTCCGTCACCAAGTCTAGACCAGGCCTTTGTTATCTCATGACTTCCTGTGTCCTCTAGTTTTTGCCTATTTGAATCCATCATTCTTATCAAAACTAGATTAACCTTCCCTTATATATCATCTTTCAATTTACTCCTAGGCTCCAGAACTAGATAATAGCTTCTTGTAGCTGCTTGTGACCTACAATAAAAATTCTGAACTTCAAATTCCCTTTCAAATTAATTTGATCTTATTCTTCCCAGCAAATTTTTCTCTCTTCTACTTCTGTTGATTTCATTGTTTCTCCAAGAATTATCAATTTTTTTTCGGTTTAGTCAAACTATTCTCTACTAATCCATCAAGGTCAAGTTCAAGGCTTACCTCCTCTGGAGAACTTTCATTCATGCTTCCTTTGATTAACCCTTTATTCTGCATGGTATTCACATCTTTCAATATCTCAACTACACAATTTAATACAATATAAATAAGCAATGCCCATACAGTATATAAGTAAATGTCATTATTTTATAAGCACGGGTCATACATTTCTAACTAGACTGCACATGCCTAGCAGATAGATTCCCTATGACATACTGATTTCCAGTTTGTTTCCTTAGAATCTACTCATCAGTAAAGGTTCTTAGATTGACTAATTATTATCTATACTTTAATATTTTACTTCCCACTTTATGCATATTTCATTTTTGTGTTATTTTTAGAATTTTAAAGAATTATAAGGGACCATTAGTAGATTGTATTGTTGCTCATAATTATTTATTCCCATCTTCCTTTTATATGTAATACATGTAACACATCTGCCTACACTATCGACTAGGGCTTGGCCTTGGGCCCCTTTAGTTAGTGGTGTGTTGGCAGATGTGACATATACCACATCCATGCAAGAGGCAAATGGGGCACTGCAGGTTTCTATTAGCTTCTTTTACAAGGGTTCTTTGCAATGAAAGCAGCTTGTCCTAGATAGAACCACTTCTCCAGCCTCAGCCTTGGAATAAGAAGCTACATAGAAAAAAACCTTCAGTTGACCCACAATTTGGAGTAGAATTTACAAAGTCACAGCCCTTATGTTTGGTGACTGAGAAATAACTTCTTTAAAATCACTGATATTCTGGGGTTTTCTGCTACATAGAAAAGCTGACTAACAGAAGACCTGAGGGTTCATCCAACTTCTTATACTGCTGGCAAGGAGAGAGGCCAGGATTTTTAGTGAAGTAATAGAAGAGTTATAACAAATTCTGAGTTATTTTTACTTTTTTTTAACACAGACCACATTTTTTTTTTGTTATTTTAGAATTTAGAGGAATACAACTGAAATAGTTTGACATTTGTGGCATTAATACTATCTGGAGTTGCCCTCCTGGCCTAGCATTAGCTTTTAGAAAATACATAGGAGAATACTAGAAAATAAACAATTTGTACTATCAGTGTCAGATAGAAAATACTTTTACTTGAAAGATACCACTCTCTCTTAGGTGCAAGTTTGTTTGGTATCAGACACAATGGAATGCAGTAATCTTTTGAATTCCTGTTAGGCCCCAGACTTTTATATATATTGTTAATATTATATATAGATTTCAAACTATTCTTTATTAAAAAGCATATAATAGAAAATTCTGATTGAGGATGGGTATAATCTTTTTTTATTAAACTGTCTTCCTAATTGTATGAAGAAGTCTCATACATTCTGACACAAACCGATACACTGCAATAGTCTTACCTTGTCCTTTTCTAAAATTCAGATGGAAATACCCCTATCTTTATGTGCTTCAGTACATCAGCACTTTAACTTGGTCTTAAAGTTTATGTTACCATACAATGTTTTTAGAAATATATTAATTTTGCTAACTATAATATTTATTTTTTAAAAATTCAGAGACTAAATTGCTCAATTAATAAAGAGATTATTAACACATTACTTTCTTTTGCACATCAAATTTTTTGAGAATATGTTCAGTGATGAGAAAAATAACAATACTTTGGTACATGTTTTAGGAAATGAATGTCATATAACCACTTTTTTGTTGTCATTTATTATTTCTTTGTTTCTCAAACAAAGAAAATAAGATATAATAAACATGATAAGATAATCAGGAAGATTTTCTAATTCTATATTTCCTCTGTTTTTTATTTGGACCTCACACAAATCTTACCTTTGTGAAAACACATCGCGGTACGGACTTCCATGCTGCAGTGCAATTCCATAGCCCCGATCAGCAACTGTGTTCCCCACGGTGTAAAAGGAACAGTCTGGGTCATTGATGGCCACATACTCCAATACAGCTGCATCCCATACAAAAGCATAATTTCCATATTTTACCTGAAAAAATATGGAGAACAAAAAAAAAAGAAATTGGTCCTTAAGATAGAAATATTAAGTTATATAGACATGGCAACAAATTGCATTAGTGTATATTGAATTATGCAAAAAATAATAGGACCTATATTTCTAAGCACTTATTCTGAATGAGAATTTGGCTTTTGATTAATTTACAGGTCTGTTCTGCTGGACACTTCATAAAAATTAAAATGTTAACTATGTTTTCATGCAAAACTGCTTTCTAATAAAATGATCCCTGTGTAGTAAATGTCACCTGGACTGGGAGAAAAATAAACACATGAAAGAAAGCCATGTTTTTGAGCTTCTCTAAATATAATACTTCTATAATTGGGCCTGTTTATGTCTTTTAGTGGTTATCTTTCTGTTTCTCAGAGATCACTCATATCCTCAGTTGCAAATTTATCAAAAATAAAAAGCAATCTTAATTAAGTTTATTTAGAAAATTATTATATATAAATATAAAGCTTAATGAATTAACTAAACAGAATGGAAAAATAAAATAAATATAAAGGCAAATAGCTGAAATGATGTCGGCAAGATAGGCGATTAGGAGATCTTGAGATTTGTTCCCTCACGGAAATAAAAATTAGACAGCTGTTCATGCATAAAGTACCCTTATGAGTCTTGGGATCCAGGTTGTGAAACCCTGGTGGAGTCTAAGACTGGGGAAAGCTACTTTGAGAAGGCAGGCCTATACCCCAGTGGCTGACTGGACAATTGTGGTTCTAATACATTCCCAGAAGCAGTCCTGTCTCCTTGTGGACCTGACTCCAGATCTGTAAAGGTACAAGGCAAAGATGGCCTGTTATTACTTCTATTTAAAATAGTCCTTGAAGTGCTAGCCAGAGCAATTAGATTGAAAAAAGAAGATCCAAATAAAAAAGGAAGAACTGGAATTGTCTCTATTTACAGATGACACAATTATGTGTGCAGAAAATTGTAGACTCTGGTCAAGATGGAGGCATAGGTAAACATGGCTTGCCTCCTTAAACAACCACATTAAAATTACAACTAAAATATAGAACCATCACTCAGAACCATCAGAAATTGAGTGGAATAGAAGACAGACAACTACAGAATTAAAGAAAACACAGCCATCCTGATAGGATGTGTGGAGAAGCAGAATAGGCTGGTCCCATATCTACCTGTAGTGCATAAAAATTCAGGAGGGATGTCTCAGGAGCAAGATGTCCCAGCACCACACCAGAGCTCCAAGCCCAGAATTCTGGTGCCAAGAAGATAAATCCCCATGACTTCTGGTTGCAAACACCAGCAGGGATTGAGTCAGTGAAAGAGACTTCTGGAGTCCCAAGCAGTTCCCCTTAAAGAACCCACACCTAGACTTACTCAGACTCACTCCCTCTGAGCACCAGCACTGGGGTAGCAGATTGAAAGGCACCAGTGGCACACAGGGAGGAACTGAAGTGTCTGGGATCAAGGCAGTAGCTGGTGGACAGCTTTCTCCTAGACAGAAAGGTAGGAAGAGTCCACTGTCCCTTTTCTGAACCCTCCCCTGCATAGAGTCAGAGTTGGCAGGCAGGGGCCATATAGGACAATCCATAAATAGATAACACTGTTTGCCAGGCCCTAGACATCCCCTGAGACTCTGTCCCACCCAACTTAAGGACGCAACCAAGCTGTTAACAGAGATTTTTTCCATATGAATGCCTGGTCATAGCAGCTGTACCTAATATATAAAAACAAACACAGTGAGGCTGCCAAAATGAGGAGACAAAGAAACATGGCCCAGATGAAAGAATAGATCTAAACTCCAGAAAAAAGAACTAAAACTAAATGGAGATAAGTAATCCATCAGATGCAGAGTTCAAAACACTGGTTATAAGGATGCTCGATGACCTTAGTGAGAACCTCATCAGCATAACAAAGATCCAGTCAGAAACAAAGAATAAACTAACCAAAATGACAATTTACAGGGAAACAACAGTAGAGCAGGTGGTGAGAATCACATCAGTGATTTGGAACATAAGGAGGCAAAAAACAACAAACCAGACAACAAAAAGAAAAAAGAATCCCAAAATACAAGGATAGTGTAAGCAGAACTTCAAGTGTTCTAAGATTAGAATCACAGGGGTGCCAGAAAAAGAAGGGAAAGAGCAAGAAATTGGATATCTATTTGGAAAAATAATTAAAAAAACTTTCCTAATTTGGCGAAGGAAATAGACATGCAAGTCCATGAAGCACAGAGAGTACCAAATGAGGTGGGTGCAAAAAGGCCCACTCCAAGACATCATAATTAAAATGACAAAGGTTAAAGATAAAGAGTGAATCTTAAAAGCAGCAAGAGAAAAGTGGTTAGTTACCTACAGGGTAGTTCACATAAGACTGTCAGCTGATTTCTCAAACTAATCTTTGCAGGCTACTAGGGATTGCCAAGAAATATTTGAAGCCATGAAAAGCATGGACCTCTGCCAAGATTTCTCTACCCAGCAAAGCTATTATGTAGAATCAAAGGGCAGGTAAGAAGAGCTTCCCAGACAAGAAAAAAACTGAAGGAGTTCATTGTCACCAAACCATTGTTATATGAAATGTTAAAGAGACTTATTTAAGAAAAAAAAAAGATAAAAACTATGAACAATAAAAAAGCAATGAATACATATCTTTCAACAACTAAGTCCTAAAAATGAACTAAGCAGACAAGAAGAACAGAGATGCAATGGGAGTGATTTAATGATTGCCAGGTAGGAGGAATGGTATCAGTGGAATGGGTAAAGAGGTAAGGGGATTAAGTACAAATAGGTAGTTACATAATAGCCACAGGGATGTAAAGCACAGCATAGGAAATGGAGTAGCCAAAGAACTTATACCTATAACCCATGGACGTGAACAATGCTATGGGAATGGCCTGATAGAGTGGTGGGTGCTGGGTGGAGTGGGACAAGCAGGAAAAATTAGGACAACTGTAATAGAATAATCAGTAATAAAAACCCCTACTAATCTAATAAGCGAATTTAGCAAAATAGCAGTATACAAAGTCAGTGTTCAGAAATCAATGGCATTTTTGTACACCGACAATGATATAACAGAAAGAGAAACTAGGAGAAAAGTCCTGTCTACTATAGTGGACAAGAAAAATAAAGTACCTAGGAATAGACTTCCGCCAAGATGGAGGCGTAGGTGGAAGCATTGTGCCTTCTTGCACAACCAAGTTTAAAAACAACAAAGTTTTAGCAACAAAAATGCAGCCAAACCACAGAAAATTGAACTACATGGAAGTCTGACAACAACGAACACTTCAGCCAAACTGGTAAGAGGGGCAGAGCCAGCAGCAGAGCAGGGTTGGGCAGGAAAGATCCACTGGACTGACCCAGGTGTGCAACCCAGGTGCACCAGCAGCCGTGGGTGAATCCCAGGTGTGGAGAAATGGGAGGACCCACTGAGGGCACAAGGCAGTGGACCCACTGAGGGCTGATCGCAATCACACATTCGCGCACAGATAAACTGGTGAAGGTGCTAGCAGTGAGACAGACCAAGCAGGCCCCGGCAGCAGGCCCCGGCAGCAGACCCGGAAGCGGCAGAGGAAACTGCCATCATCCTTCTCTGACCCGCCCCCACCTACAGCGTCACAAACCAGCGACCTGGGTGGCCCCACCCTGGTGAACAACTAAGGCTCTGCTTCTCATATTTAACAGGCACAAATAGATCAAAACATGGCTCAAGAACAACTCAGAGCCCCAGAACCAATAAATCTAAGCAATGAAGAAATAGCCAAACTTTCAGATGCACAGTTCAAAACACTGGTTATCAGGATCCTCACAGAACTGGTTGATTTTAGTCATAAATTAGTGGAACATATGAAGGCTAAACTAATTAAAATGAAGGGAAATGTACAGGAAACCAATAGTAATGGAAAGGAAACTGGGACTCAACTCAAAGGAGTGGACCAGAAGGAGGAAAGAAATGACCAAACAGAAAAGGATGAAGAAACAAACATTCAAAAAAATGAGGAGAGGCTTAGGAACCTTCCAGACATCTTTAAACGCTCCAACATCTGAATTATCAGGGTACCAGAACGGGAAGAGGAACAGCCACAAGTGGAATACTTATTTGAACAAATAATAAAGGAGAACTTCCCCAATCTGGCAAAGGAAATAGACTTCCAGGAAATCCAGGAAGCTCAGAGTCCCAAAGAAGTTGGACCCAAGAAGGAACACACCAAGGCACATCATCATTACATTAGCCAAGATTAAAATGAAGGAGAGAATCCTAGAAGCAGCCAGAAATAAGGGGACAGTCACCTACAAAGGAGTTCCCATCAGACTGTCAGCAGATTTCTCAAAAGAGACCTTACAGAAGGCAAGAAGGTGCTGGAAAGAAGTATTCCAAGTTATGAAATCCAAAGACCTACATCCAAGATTGCTCTATCCAGCAAAGTTTTCATTTAGAATGGAAGGGCAGATAAAGTGCTTCTCAGATAAGATCGAATTCAAGGAGTTCATCATCACCAAGCCCTTATTATATGAAATGTTAAAGGGACTTACCTAAGAAAAAGAAGATAAAAAAGATGAACAGTAAAATAATAGCAAACTCAGTTATAAAGAACCACACCTAAAACAAAAGGAAACTAAGAGGACAGCTATATCAGGAGCAGAACCATAGAAATGAAGATCACATGGAGGGTTAGCAACAGGGGAGTGGGAGAAGGAGAAGGGGGGGAAGGTACAGAAAATAAGTAGCATAGATGGTAGGTAGAAAATAGGTAGGGTGGAGGGCAAGAATAGTATGGTAAATATAGAATCTAAATAACTTGAGACATGTGGTCATAAACTAAAGGGGGGGGAATGGAGGGGAGGGAGTGTGCAGGGTGGAGGGGAATGAAGGGGGAAATAGAACAACTGTAATGGCATAATTAATAAAATATATTTAAAAATTCAGAAAAAAGTACCTAGGAATAAACCTAACCAAAGAGGTAAAAGACCCATACTTGGAAAACTATAGAAAACCGATGAAAGAAATTAAGG